AAAATATGTACTTTCAAATGAGGCTGATTAGACAAGATTTCATGTGGCAAAAGCTGTGTGCAATAAGTTACTTCCTTTTTTCAAGAAGGGAATATTCAAATTTGCATCAAATGCAGCAGAGTGATCAAGGAAGATGGAACTAAGCAAAAACCAGGAGATTTGGTTTTAAGAATATCATTGAAGATTTTCAGAAAAGTATCTTATTTGTGTGTTGAGGACTGAAATACAAACACATTTATTTAGTTGTTTTTTTTTATAATGTGCTGACTTTATGAATACATTTAAAAGGATAAACAGTCCTTTCAATGCAGAGGAAAAGAACAGACATTGCTCTAGCACAAAGTATTTAGTTTTTATTTTAAACTCATTTTAGAAACTTTAAAGGGTGGCAACAAGACCAAGATGGACTAGAATGCTTTGAGGTTGACATCACACTGCTGCTCCCTGACACTTTTTCATGTTTGTCTCAGTCCCTCCCTGCCTCACTCGCTCCTACAACTTCTTAACCACTTTTACCTTTAAATATAGCTGGAGATTGCTCACTGGGTAGATAAGTGGAGCATCTGTGGAGAAGTACAGGATGAATAAAGAAGAAAACTAAACCCGGCCGGCATGGCTCAGTGGTTGAGCATCAGCCTATGAACCAGGAGGTCACGGTTCAATTCCTGGTCAGGTCACATGCCCAGGTTGCAGGCTCAATCCCCAGTGTGGGGCATGCAGTAGGCAGCTGATTAATGATTCTCTTTCATCATTGATGTTTCATTCTCGCAGCTGATTAATGATTCTCTTTCATCATTGATATTTCATTCTCTCCCTCTCCCTCTCGCTCTTCCTTCCTCTCTGAAATCAATTAAAATATGTTTAAGAGAAGAAGAAGAGGAGGAGAAGGAGGAGGAAGAAGAAGAAGAGGAGGAGAAAGAAGACTCAGATGTAATAGAGTTATCACCACCAGATTGGCTATTAGGAGGGAGGAGGAGGAGGAGGAGGAGGAGGAGGAGGAAGACTCAGATGTAATAGAGTTATTACCACCAGATTGGCTACTATGAGGAGGCCCCCAAGTGCAGGGGTTCTAGAGGAAGGAACTGCAGAGGCAGGATGTATGAATTGAAGTGATCTGGGCAGTAACCACGTAAATTCACAACTGATATTCTATATCTTCTCCAAGCTACATGTCCAGAAGTCATTACTGTAAGGATAAAAGGCAAGAATCAAGAGCTTTAGCCTTTTCAATTTCCCTTAATTTCTCTACTTCTAATATTCCAGTGCTAAAGTTGGTACTCTTGACTGAAACACCTGATATTATAAATAACCCTAAAATACAAACCTAACAAGAATTACAGATGGCTGTAATGAAAATTTGAATGTTCCTCTTTCTAACTATGACCAAATACCCTACCTGTGGCTTTAGGAGGGGGATAATGAAGAGAGAAAGGTAGAGAAAGAGAGAAAACAGAGAAGTTTTAAGCAGATACAAAGTAATATTAATAGAAACTAATAATGTGAATGGTGTTCCATCTCAGCAAAAGCACTGAACAAAAGTTAACGTTACCAAAAGAACCTAAGCTTTAGCTCCCACTGGCTCTTGGGCCTCATTCTCCAGAGCTGGTACAAAATACACCGAGAATATTATAGAACACAATTAACCCCAACATTATTTTCAGACTGTATGTGTACTTGCATTTTGATTATTATTACCTGCCTTTAACTTTTCTAGATGAATGAGAAGATGCTGACACAAAATTTTAATTACTGCCCTTTCTTTGTGAATTGAATCCATGAAAGTTTCAAGAGAGAGAAGATAAAAGTACATTCCTTGTTCCACTTATCTGTGCCAAAGGGCTTGGCCAGGCCCAGAGCTGAGGCAGGCTAGGGATCAGAGACCTTGAATTGCTTGCTACTTAATACCTGTTCTGCTCCAGGCTACACTGAAGCTTTAGCTTTGATAGTTCAAGGCTAAAAGCCAGTTTTGATAGTTGGCCAGAGGGAACATTTTTAAAAATTAATCTCTTTATACAGCAATACTTCTTCATGAAGATGAAGTGTAGTTCCAAACTATCCTAAGTCCAAGTTTATCCTCATTTATGGCTCTGGGAGTTAAAATTCATCCAGCAGCACCACAAAGAGAATTTTTTACAGCTGAGTCAAGTTTTCTAATTTTCAATCAATCAACCAACATGTACTTAAAGGGCTCAGTATAATAGACACATAAGTGAAAGGATTTTGCTCTGAGATAATTGAATTCTGGTTGAGAATGGAAATTAACTCAAACTAAAGATAAAGAAATACACTGTTTGATATTGAGCATTAATATAAAAGAAATTCAAAGAATAAAAATTAGACTGAGCCAGGAAAGTTCAAAATGGCTTTGAAAGGGCCTGGCCGGCGTGGTTCAGTGGTTAAGTGTCGACCTATGAACCAAGAGGTCATGGTTAGATTCTAGGTCAGGGCACATGCCTGAGTTTCAGGCTCAATCCCCAGTGGGGGGTGTAAAGGGGGCAGCCGATCAATGATTCTCTCTGATCATTGATGTTTCTATCTCCCTCTCCCTTACTCTCAAATCAATAAAAACATATTTTTTTGATGTTTCTATCTCTCTCTCCCTCTCCCTTACGCTCAAATCAATAAAAACCTATTCTTTTAAAAAAAAGTTGAAAGGAACGTAACAAGATATGAGCTAAGAGACAGAATAGTAAGATACAAAAAAAAAACAAAAACAAAAACAACCAAGGAGAGTAAGCATTATAGGTGAGGGACAAAATTAATAATGAAGTCAAGAAGTAAGACTGAACATAGTATTAGGGATGGGGACAGGGATTGGTATAAGGTATAAGGAATCAGTTTAAGTAAAGTATGTGTTTGTTAAGAAACATGGTTGAATAAATAGGTATATGGAATGCTTTGAATGCCAAGAAGACCAATATAAACTTAAAGATTAGGCCAATGAGAGTCACAATTGGTCATTGTTTAGGGAAGCAGCAGCACGAATTTCTTTAGAGAGAGTGGTTTAACAGCAGCATGGGGTAAAGATTGGAAGCCACAAAGAAGTTGGTGGAGCCATTTAGGAGTGAAGTGATGAGAACCTCAACTAGAATAATAGCATCCATTTATGAAGCATTCAACACTATCTACTGAATGCTGAAATGTTTATCACATGAATGTGAATAAGACAGATAGGGTAATCAAAAGACTTGTATGCATGCATATAAGCATAACCACTGAAACCAGACAGTAGAGGGGTGAGGGCCTGTGCTGAGGGGTGGGAGTGGCTGGGTAGAGGTCAATGGGGGAAGAAAGGAGACATATGTAATGCTTTAAACAATAAAGAATTTTTTAAAAAAGAATTTAAATTTAAAAAAACACTAAAAAAAAGATAGAGTATTACTGGCCCACAGAAACTGTGAGATAATAAATATTCATTATTATAAGACTCTAAATTTTAAAGTAATTTGTTATAGCAATGGATAACTAACACAGAGGTGAAGCCAGCAAAGGGAACACCAAGTAAGGTTAGAAAAGCAAGAGAGGAATCAAAAAACACACTGCCATTGAAAACCCGGGAGAAGTTTCAAGTAGTAGAAAGGTAGACAGTCAAGGTCAGATATAAAAGAGAAATACAGGATGATGTAAACTTGAAAAAATGTTATTGAACTTGGTATAGTTCAAAATTAATTAAAATGAAATAATGTAAAAGAAAGTGCTTTGAATGATCATGTTGTTACTTTCCTCCTTAAGTGGAGAATGGTAGGGAAGTAGTGTAGACAGTGACAGATACCATAAATTTAAACAATTTATATTCCTAAGTCTATGGATCAACTAGCAACTGATTAAATGGCTAGTGAAAAGTATGTCACGTGTACAGTAGTATGTATTTTTTTAAAAAAATACACTTGTTTTGATCTAATATCCTGACTTTAATCCTATATTCTCCCCATAACAAAATATGAATCTTTGAATTTATTCAAACCTCTATCACTCACCATATGGTGCTAGAAATTATTATTTACATGCTTGCCATCCCTATTACAGGTAAGTTCCTCCAAAGTAGGGACCTGTAACTTACTCATCTTTGAAGGCTCAGTACCTAGAACAATACCTAACCCACAGCAGCTGTTCAGTTGCTAATAGAAAATTACTGAATGTAGTAGAAAAACAATGTCTTTCCAAACATATTCATAGGTCACTTTTGAGGAATTAAGATTTTTCTTCCATTTCTCTTTGTTACATAGTATTGCTTCACTATATTCTCTACTTAGCAACTGTCCACCTTAGAAAATTAGTTGAGGTCCTTCTATCACATGTTCTCTTCTGCATTGACATTCTGCATATTTCACTTCTAATATTATAGACACTTAAATGTCCTTTTCCTATTCATTAGTAATATGCAATGAATTAAACTAAGTATTTGCTCAAAAGATCAATCTCCAGAAAAAAATAAAAGTAATAACTAAAGACAAATGGGAGATGAATGAAGGATGTACTATCAATTGTTAGACACCAATCATGTAAGTGATTCCTGTATCTGCTTTTGCATGAATCCCTTGGGTTTCAATTTCTTCATTTCTGCAAGTTCAGACTCAACCCTAACTCAATTCTAACTGAATTATATTGAACTGAACAATATTTTTTTCATGTCTTTCTTCCCAGATCATTCCAAGTTTTGGTTTAGGATGTCAAAATATTTGAGTATATCAAAATCTAAAATTTGGTATTTCCTTGCCCTCAAATTCATAATTGCCTGAATAAAGTAGTTAAGAGGTTATTTTTTAGGAAAAACTTAAGTAGAAGCAGAAGAAATAAGAAAATAAGGTAAAGTTATAAAAATATTTTTAAATTAACATTTAAAGTACACATTAGATGTTTAATTTTTTAAAAGCCTATTTAAAGAACAAACCAACTAAATTTTTAGTTTTTAAAAAGGTCCTGATACACCAAATTAATCTATAACTTTGCCCATTAAAATAGAAATAGACTACTACTAACCTTAAGGAGTTATAATCAGGACAAATTCTTACATTGAAAATGTTTGTGGGCATTCACACAGAACAGCTGCCACCCAGGATGGCTAAAATAACACAAATTAGATGTAATTGAGTTAAAGGACCACACCAGGTTTGTAATTCAATTTGTTCTATGCGGTTTAGGTTTGGGTTTATTTTTCCCCTCCAGCAAACCACGGTTTAAAAACCTCATCAAATGGGAAGTATAAAGAAATAGGACTATACATTGCAAATATTTAGCACGAACAATTTACATAAAATCTACTGTAACAGTTTAGACGTTGATTTTTTTTAAAAAACACCTGAATACAAAAAGCACTTATTTAAGCTTCCTTTGAGGATCCTACTCACTAAAACTTCTTACTGTCCATTTTTTCACTCTACCATCATTTATCCTAGCTGTAAGGTGAGTTTGGTTTTGAGCTAGTTTCCTAACTTTGTATACTTTTTACCTACAGGTAAAGTGTAAATTCCAGGTTAGAATCAATGCCATTTACAGAGCTCAGTTCAAAATCTTTAGGGTCATTAATATGAGTCAAGGGTAACACCAGAATTTTACCACAGCAAACTTTTCAGCAGCCTCAGATATAGTTGATTAAGCACTGCTGATAGATGTGGCTAATTACACTGTCATCACTGTGTTGATAATTTTGATTTCTATGGGTCTAACCAGCATAGACCTATCCCTAAAAGAATGTTTAGATAAGATGTCCTGAAACTGACCAAACCCAAACCCTTGATGGGAATCCACTCATACAAGGCAATTTGATCACTGAGGGATATTTAAGGAAAAGAGTTCGGCTTAGAAATCTGTTGCCTCTCACTGTGCCCTTTCTAATAGAAGTCATGGATTTGAAGCAAAATTTGAGGGGAAGAACTTTCCAAGTAAGTAGGGTGCACAACCAGCTTTCAATTCACGCCATGCTAATAGTTCCACATAAAACCAAAGGGTCTGATATAATTAACGGGCTTCATTTCAGAAAATCCTGTTTAACGAGATTTCTCTGATAATTATAGCTTAAGCAGAACACAGCCATAGGAGTGTGTATCAACTTGTAACTAATCAGAAATAAGCACACCTTTTGTTGATATTGATTACCTATAAATTATTTGGATTCTTGCATGCATTAAAAAGTCATTTTGTCCTGGGAAGAGAACACATGAAAACTTTTACTGAGACAAACTCTTGCCTCCACAGTTTTTCACTCTGGCGGATGCAGACATGAAAAGCACCTGGCCTAATAAGTCTTCCTTGCATAGCACTCCAGAACACACCATCAGCCTATCCCCTCCAAAGGCCAGCTCTTCCGAGATTTCCTAAAACTCTAAAACCACACCCAAGGAGCTTAAACCTCTTAGGTGGCTCAGATAGTAAAGTTATCAATCATTTCAAATGAAGAGGGAAACCGGTTTTTTTATAAAGAATAATATTTTATTTAGCAATATTGGTATCAGGGGGGCGGAATTTTTCTAAATTAAGAGAGCTCGCTATTTAGTCTTCTGCCTGCTATCTGACACCACCTGAGGTATGCCATAAATCTTCCTGAAAGACAAGGCTGAGAAATACTACTGGCTAATTATAGGGGTCTCATGTATAAACCAGATGCTGAATTGCAAGATGGTTCAGATTGTTGCCAGCTAGAACATGCATGAGGCACTCAAACTATCTTGGGAGCCTAATCACTATTTTTATGCCAAAGGAAAAAACGTGGTTCCATTCTTAAAGGTAGAAGAATGCACAAATGTGGCAATGCTATCTTCCTGTCTTAAATTCATTCACAGTGAAAGTAATCTCTGTAACTTAAAAGGTTTGCCTCCACTGAATTAAATAAATCTCCAATTATATAACCATTATCATTTTACAGATGAAGAAATGAAGGCAAGGCAGAATGATGTGACTCATCCACATCCACATGTAAAAATTATATTGTAATTAGAAAATAAATATACAACTCTTTCCCCCAAGGCAGGATGACCCATGCAGGCATACAACATAACATACAACATTCACACAGAAAAAAAAAAGTGCTCCGGGAAGTCTGGAATACATCAAGAACTTTGTATTCCTCAAGCCCAGGGCAAATCCTATCCCTTACAGTTCATTCCCCTCACCATTTTCCAAATTTTCTATGATGCTATTAAACTTCGGTTATTTCAATAGTAATTTTTAAAGTAAAAAATTCAGCTTATGTTTTCAAGTAAAGAAAGGAAAAACAACAGTGTATCTTCCCAATTGCCCTTCTTGATTACTTGACTGATTTGAATTCTAAAGTTTAAGAGGAATCAAATAAGTAACCTTTATTTTTTATCTGCAAAGCCATATTCCAAGGCCAATTCCACTAAATCTACAGATAGAAAGAAAACATGTTCTATGGACATAACAAACTTAAGTTGGAAACTAAAGCAAACACCAGCTATCTTTTTAAATTCATATGAAACTGCTGAATAAGGAAACAGACCCTTCCTTACCAAATCAGTGCATAATGTCTCGCCTCGGTTGAGACTGTCAGAAGCATTCCAGTGCAGTTTACCTACTGAGTTATAAACATGGCCATTCCACTTCTCATAGGTTATACATAGAACAAGTTTCATATGTATTTATAAATACTTTGATTGTGAAATATATACTTTAAAAATTATAATCGTAATTTTTTACATCACAACAGAATAGCCTCCAGATGCAGAAAAGACACAGCAAACATGACTGACTTCATGCCATCATGTGTCAGTATTGTTCACCCGAGGGACAGGAAGCTTTGGAAGAATTTTCACACCCCCTGGGCTGATGTCAATTTGGAAAGCAGTGCACTGAGAAAAGAATGCATTTCTTTAAAGTCTCCCCTCAGAGAAATAGCTCCTTTCTACAATTGTTTTTTCTTTAAAGAGAAAGTTTACTGGTGTTTTGTATCAACTGAAAGAACAACAGGTATTTTTCAAGGAGCCCCTCAGAGAAATAGCTCCTTTCTACAATTGTTTTTTTCTTTAAAGAGAAAGTTTACTGATGTTTTATATCAACTGAAAGAACAACAGGTATTTTTCAAGGAATTTCTTACATGTTTCTTATAACAAAAAGCAACCAATCACAAGAAGGTGAAAAGGGGGATTTAGAATGAGAATCTGACACAATAAGTCTACAAGAAGGGTTAGAATTCAAGTAAAGTAGCAAATTTTACATATGACTTTCTATTCCAAGATTATCTAAATGACTACTCACAGAGAATATTTGAACAACATGAAATACAAATATACCAAAAAAAACCAAAAACAACCTAAACTAAAAGATAGGTTGCTAATTATTATAAAAGGCATCAAATGACTGAGAACATTACAGTTGGAAAGAGCCATATCCAGCATCCATGGGCTCCTGCAGTGTTACAAACCTTTTACTTTTCTATCAGTCTTCAGCATTGTTCTACCTAACATAGAACACTCTTCACTGGCCTAAGAGAAATAATGAAAACTTTAGGTGACCTATTCTGGGTACTTCTCAAGAAATTTCTTAAATAACCACCCCACTGCTGCCATTAATTTATGTAGAATCTGTACCAAGGAGCACAGTATAACAGGCAGTGATTATCTTTATTTTTTTTACAAAACATCCCTGGGTAAGTTAAGAGCCAGAAATAATCTATTACATGTTACAGATGGAAAATTTAAGAGCAAGGAGTGACCTGCAATCACAGAGAGTCAGTGATGGGCTGGGGCTGATTCCCTCAATCCCTGACTCCTCACCTTTTGCTCCTGGTATATGATGGTACCTCTTAAATCTTTAAAATCAAAGCATATAATAAGTGCAAATGTCTCAGAACCTCCCATTCACTTTGACTCAGTCCTATACTTCTTTTTGTCTATAACATAAAAGAATCCTAGAGGTGTAAAAGCCCTAAAAGAGCATCTAATCCCCGCATTTTACAGATTTCAAATTTGCTTCTAGAATTAATTTGGGAATTTAAATTAATTGCTAAACAGAAGCAATTGAGAAGGGAGGACTTAGACATATGGAAAAGGAAAAACCAGATGTATATATACCACAAAGATCCCTGGTTCCATTTAATTTCCAGCGATGCCAGTAATTGGGAGGGGGTTTGGGGGGAGTAAACAGAGGGGAGAGGGTGTTAATGTCAGTGATGTCCTTTGAACTGTGTCCAACATTCTAATTTTTAAGGAAAACATTCCTCCCCCAGCCAACAACTGCAAGCTTATTCCTTACGTAATTGGCATCAGAATCAATACGTGGTTGCTGTAATTTTTCCCCCTTTTACCTTCTAATTGTCCATGTGAGACCACCAAGAGAAGAGGAAAAAGTCAGGCTAGCATTAAAGATGATACCAGATAGTAGAAGTTGGAAAAAATGTGATAAATCATCTATATCTACCAATATGAAAAGATCTCCAAGATACATTATAAAATCTAAAAAGCAATTTTGCCAAATGAGAGGCAGTATGATACTGTTTTTGTGGGAAAAGTACACACAAACACAAAGCAATAAAGCAATACTATATGTCTTTCTTTCATAAGCCTATTTATCTGCCAACACCTCTATTTCTAAGTCAATGCACAGAAAAAGGTCTGAGGAATAGATCCCAAACTGAAAATAGGCATCATTTTCTGCTCTTGGTGGAGAGGTTACTGGGATTGAAAAGGATGGTTGTGAGGGGAACTTAAAGTACTCTCCATAGATATTCTGAATATTTTGAATATATTAATATGTTACTTACATAATAAAAATTTTTTTAAAGAATCAAACATGCACAAAATGGACAAAAGTTAATCAAGAATGTGCGAGGGTTAGGTAGAAGCATGCCTGGGCACAAGCATGGGGAAGCCTCGGTTTCCTCGGGAACTCGAAGTAAAGAGCTGCTGTTTTCCTTCAGTCAGTTTACTTCTTAGACTTGCCTTCTCTGGCCCTATTCTCTAGACCAGCGGTTCTCAACCTGTGGGTCTCGACCCCTTTGGCGGTTGAACGACCTTTTCACAGGGGTCACCTAAGACCATCCTGAATATCAGATATTTACATTATGATTCATAACAGTAGCAACATTACAGTTATGAAGTAGCATCTAAAATAATTTTATGGTTGGGTCACAACATGAGGAACTGTACTTAAAGGGCCAGAAGGTTGAGAACCACTGCTCTAGACTCTTTAACAACGCATCAATGTGAAGACTTAATCTTGTGGGCTCTGATCCATTCTTTGCTCCTTGGAAAGTGAAATAAGGTAGGAGTCGTAGGTAGATGAGGGTAATGGGTTTTCTTGAGCTTAACTGCTCCACTAGGAAATCTACTATGGCTCTTTTCCTCTGTCCTCCAGCTATGATATAAGAGTGGGCTCCTGACTATGTTTATCAATAGGAAGGAGGCCTCCGTTGAACGTCGTTACAAACCAGTTTCATCACTGCTCTGGCCCCAGTGCCTTTCAGAGCCAAGTCCTTCCTCCTGGTTGGCCTTGGAAAGAAGTAGTCTGCAGTTACTTGCCCGAGCTCTTTCCTAATGGTTGCACCTATTGCCTGGTTCTGGGAACATGGCTTGTTTCTTCTGTCCTATTCTGTCAAGAGTGTTCTTTGTAAAATCTTGGTTTCTTCAGTTCCTCCACATTAGCTCCAGCAATGAACAGTGTGATCAAAGCACAAAGAGAAAAAGCAAGCTCAAGGAACTATGAGGGAGTTGGTGGGACAAGAGTAAACGTACTTCTGTGCTTAGCAACAGAGAGTTGGGGAGGGAGAAATTGTGGTAGAAAATGAGTGGAGAAGAAGTAGATGGAGCCAGACTATGAACCCCGTGCATGATAAGCTAAGGAGTTAGACTTTATCCCTTAACATGATGTGGACCCATCAAAGGTTTTTAAGCCAGAGAATGATATGATCCGATCTGTCTTTAAAGAAAGAGATTTGAGAGAAGTAGGAAGGATGGACTAGGAAATGGAAAGCCTGAAAGGGGAAAAGCAGCTCTCCTAAGAATGAGACTGAAAGATAAAAGGGCCTAAACAGGGCAATGGTTATGAGAACGGAGAAAAGGAAACAAACATATTCAACAGCAATTTTGGAGACAGAAGAGACAGCACTTGTCGATAGATTGGTTGTGGAGACTGAGGGAACATAAGGACTCAAGATGAATATGAGGCTGCCAGCTGAGAGGACCGGGAGGCCATTGAAGATAGAGAATACAGGAAGGGAGGGGCTGTTTACAGAGTGTGTGGAAAAATGAGTTTTGGGTTTGTGGAACTGCATGCTAGGATATCAACTCTTTGTAAACTCCAAAAAGATAAGGATCTTGTTTGCTAATTTTCTCTGTGCCATACCTAGTGCAATGCCATGTGCATTTATTCAAGTTTGTGAGGATAGTGATAATGGCGTTCTCTCCCAGGATAATTAAGACTTCACAATATTTAAGGTATCCCTTCAAAGTGCCTATGTAGAAAGGAAATATGAGACGAAGTGGTTTATTCTACTTTTCTGTCAAATTTCTTCTTTCGTTGTTTCCAAAATAAATTTCCAATAATAATAGGGCTTTTAACAAGAAGGTCTATTGCTAAAAGCAGCCTCAGGCAGACTCTAATACCTGTCACAACTTTACATTCTACACATTCCATTAATCAAGCCACATCACCTTCATTCTCTTTCTTGTTCAGGAACCTGTACTACAACTTCAGATTCTAAAACCTGCCACACCCAATAGTCAAACATATCAAAGACACTTAAACAATTTGAAATAAAGAAAAAACACTGCTGTTTTATTTGAAAAACCTTAGAGGGGGTGAGGGGATATAGGGGAAAAAAGCACCATTTGTTCTGGTTAGTGTTGTTATGCATTGTTTTCTGGGGTTTGCCTTGTAGGCATGTTGAAATCATAACTAAATAAATCAGCTCCAGCTACACAAAGAAACAATACTCCCTTCCCCCGTGGACGCCAGAAGGGAAAATGGCATCTCCTCCATGATGTACACACACTTTGGAGCTGCTTGGTTTTTAATCCTCTGCCAAGTCAAGTTTAAGTTTTATTTTAATCTCAGTAACCACAGTAAATTCCGAATCTTTGACAAGTAAATGCTTTTGAATCCCACTCACTTTCCTTTCTAACTCCTGGAACTTCAGAGTTCAAAAATGCCTGCACTGCTGATCCCTTTTCATGAGGAAGAAAATACATACACTATAAATTAGGTATAGTTCCTGACATTTACAAGTTAGTCTACATGTGAAATAGGTTAAGATAAAATTGTATCTTTCCTGGCCATCATTTAAGTGTGTGTGTGTGTGTGTGTGTGTGTGTATTTACATGTACTATTGGAGAAAGAACAGCACAGGAAGTCAGGAGATCTGGGCTCAAGTCTCATTCGTTTTAGTCAAGCAACTTAAATTGGTTTCCTTGTATCTAAAAGTTAGGAAAGTTGACTGGATGGTTTTTATATGCCCCTCCCTTTCACTTTAAAAGTTTGACTCAAGATTATGGCTATTACCTGATTTTTTTTTAACCATGGAAAGCAGTCACTCAAAAAAATATTCCGAAGAAAACAACTAGTTTTTATGGTATTGGAATAAACCTCAGAAATTACCTAATTTGTACAGCTTTGAAACTATATTCCAAGAGTTATAAATTGTTTTATTTATTGGAATGTTCTACAGTTTAAAGAAAAACATTACAAACTACTCATCTAATCCAACTCTGTCATTCCAAATGAAGAAACTGAGATCAAGATTGGAAGAAGAAATATAACACATCGATAAAATATGGTGCAACTCTTAAACATGATGGCAAGAGAAAAAGGGGCATGAAACGCTTTAGAAGAAATGAGGATATAAAACTGTGTATAAAAAACATGTAGGCATACATCTATTTTTCAGGCTAATAAATTCATTATATCACTGTCACTAAAACATTGCCACTATTAATATTCAAATAATATAAAATAATAACAAATGAAAAATGAAACAAATGATCCTACATCTCACCATTGAGAAATATTCGGTATTAACATTTAGTGAGAATCACTCCAGACAGCTATTTCACCTATACAGAGGGTAGATAAATGAACAAAAATAAATTTATTATTTCTGGGATAAGAGTGTTACTTGCTTTTTAAAATTACATATATATTTTTTAACTTAAAATTAGTAGAAGCTAAAATGAAACTTAGGAAAACTTAAGCCTTAGATAAATTCTTCACTCCAAGAATATTAATTGTTAAAATCCCTCTAACTTTGAGGAAAAAACATGATTTAAAAAGCTGTATATCGGGGACAGGCTGGTACCCTTGACTGGAATCGAACCTGGAACCCTTGGGTCCACAGGCTGACACTCTATCCATTGAAACAAACTGGTTAGGGATAAAACTATTTAAAATTTTAGACAGTATTGACTGAATTGTTGGTATGAAAGATAAATAGATTAATAATTTCCTCTTCCTTTCCACCTATCTCTCAATTTTTGTTTTACTGGCCATGATGTATAACATTTCCATTCTGTTCTGTTACCACAGCGTCTAGAGTTTCTAAATCTTAGGTTTATATGTAAATCTACTTAATATTCACAATCAGCTTTTATTTTGATTCATCTCTTGGTTGGCTAAATTTAATAGGTAGATTTTCCAGTGAGATCTCACAGATGCTATATTCTCTGAATTCTTTCACATTTGAGGATTATGTGCCTGTCACCTTTATTCCTCAACTAGAAGCCAGGTGCATGAATTCGTACATGGGTGGGGTCTGGCTGGTCCACCCTGATCGGGGTGGGGGGGGCCAAGTGGAGGCAGGGCCAGCCAGGGGGAGGGGCCATGGGCAGTTGGCAGGCCAGCCCCACCCCCAATCGGGGTAGGAGGGCCAATCGGGGGTGGGGCCGACCAGGGGGAGGGGCCAAAGGTGGTTGGCTGGCCAGCCCCACCTCCTGGTCGAACTCCTAGTCGAGGGGACAATTTGTATATTAGCCTTTTATTATATAGGATGACATCCTGATTAGGAACAATGTTCTTGGGCCATACTTGCTTTCATCAAAACTTTGTTGACACTGCTCCTCTAGTATTTCACTTTGTTGTGATGTCTGAGACCAGTCTAATTCTTTCCCTTATACAAGAGTTTTGATATTATTATTATTATTTGCCAGAAAGACTGAAGAAGTGTTTCCTCAGTAACAACCAGGATTCTAGTTGATACTGATTCTTTTTTACCAATTTCTGTATTCAATGTTCAGTGGGGCCTTGACTTACGAGTGTCCCAACTAATGAGTTTTTCGAGATACGAGCCGTCTCTCGGCCGATTTTTTGCTTTGAGTTGTGAGCTAAAATTCGGGTTACAAGCCAGCTTCAGATACCCCACC